GACTGAAACAGGACTGAACTAGGTCTAAACAAGGACTGAACCATAACAAAACACAACTCCAGATATGTTTGTAAACCCGCATTAAAACACAGATCAGAAAATAGCGTATTATGGGCCGTTTAACATCAAATTTATAGCTTATTGGGTCAAAACGTATTTATGCTTCCATCAGACATTTTAGCAAACTTGTTACACAACTCAAAATGTCCATTGAAAGTTTGTAGCTACTATAGAAGTTGCTGTTTGTAATTGCTTTGTAACTCCATAGTGAATCTATCTTGTTCTTTATATAGGTCATGAACAGTAGTAACTTAGTGCCAGCAGTGAAAAACATGTCTATAAATTAAGAGTCAGACTTTATGAGACAGATGCATTATGGGTAAGCAAGGGGCTGGTGTTTGTATATGTACCCCCCGGAGGCTCCCCACTGTCACACGTTCATCAGCGCGGGACAATAAAGTTTTATTGAACCAGAGCCCCAGTCTGTGTTTGTCTGGCTGTCTGCACCACACAGCACTGCAGGAGGCTTCTACCGCTATGAGAAACGGAAGCAGGTCTAACACAGGTCTAAACTAGGTCTGAACCAGGGCTAAACTAGGACTGAACCAGGTTTGAACTAGGACTGAACCAGGCCTAAACTAGGTCTGAACCAGGGCTGGACCAAGTCTGAACCAGGTCTGAACCAGGTGTAAACAAGGTCTGCATTAGGGCTAAACCAGGTCTAAACCAGGTCTGAACTGGGTCTGAACCAGAGCTAAACTAGGTCTAAACTAGGTCTGAACCGGGTCTGGACTAGGTCTGAACCAGCTCTAAATCAGATCTGAACCAGGTCTGAACCACATCTACACTGGGTCTAAACCAGGTATAAGCCAGGTCTAAACTAGGAGTGAACTGGGTCTGAACCAGGTGTAAAAGAGGACTGAACCAAGTCTAAACAAGGTTTAAAGTTAGGTCTGAACCAAGCCTAAACTTGGAAGTAAAACAACAGGTCCAAACCTGGTCTAAACTAGGCCCAAATCAGGACCAAACCATGTCTAAACCAGGCCTAAAAGAGGACTGAACCAAACTAAAAATACTAGGACTGAACCAGGTCTAAACCAGATCTAATCTAGAACCAAATCAGGGCCAAACTAGATCCAAACTAGGTCCAAAAGAGGACTGAACCAGGTCTAAACTAGGACTGAACCAGGTCCAAACCAGATCTAAACTTGGATTTAACAGGTCTAGTCTTTGCATTATGCTTAGAAGAATCAGTAAAAACAAAGCAGAACCAGGACTGAATCAGGTCTAAACCAGGTCTAGACCAGGACTTATCAGTGCAGAAGGCTTCTCTGTGTGTAGCCAGGGGAATTTAACCCTCACACTGAACCAGGACTAAACTACTGAACCAGGTTGAAACCAAGACTATCTTGTTCAAAGCAGAGCACAGCCTGGTTTTTCATTCACTCACACTACATTAAAGTAGGGTGAAGTGTTTTTGCCCAAGGGCACAAGACCAATATGCACTATAATGAAACTGTCAATCTTCGGATTTCTGAGTTAGCGCTATTAAAGGCTTTGTCGAGCACAAATATACCTTTTCTCATTTCCTCAAATCAAGGTCCAAAACTGACCAAATCATACTGTGGAACGTTTCAGGCAGTGCATGACCATGGAGACAAGCAAGTGCAGACAAAGTTACACAGCGCACCTTTAAGCACTGCAGAGATACAGGATGTGATGTGATCTAAACCCAGACAGTGTTCTCTCCTCTCCACTTGTTGTCAGTCTGATCCCTGTGTGACATTACAGATTATGGACTGCTTTTGTTTGACTCACTGCTTCCCGCTGCTCTGAGCTCAAATCTGGGCTTAGCTCCTCACAAAATCCCCTTTCCTGGGGTCGTTCTCAGGGCTGTGTGCAAACTCCAACTCAAACTGCACTTTTACTGCTGCATACAATCTACTACTACTTTTTAAATATTCAACTTCCAGTCTTTAGTCTTTAGTCTTTGAGTAACTTTGACACAACATTCCAACGTAATAAGTTGTTTAAAGCCACAGTATGCTAGTCTGATTCATCAGCCTGGTTTCACTTCGTGGAAACCGTCTGACCTCGCAGCATTAGGATTCGTTTGTTTGACAGTAAGTGGGTACTTTTTTTATTTAACCAATCGCTGCTATTTGGTTGTGACGTATGTAATGCGCCAAATCCCGTAGGAAGAAGGGTAATAACGTCTTTCCCCTTGACAAAATTCACCAAACATTCTCTTTGTTCCGGCTGTAAATTCTCGATCTCTATAATTGTTGCTAACATAGAATCTCTGGCTTTGTCTACATCCATCTCGACCACTTTGTTTACTGCTGTGCTGTACCACAAAAGGGACTCAGACAGGTGCTTGAGTTTGACGTCATGGCTTCACAGCTCTTCACAGATTGGCCGCTGCACGGTCTACAACTTCCGGGGTTCTTGCAAACCGTCTAGTGTATTCCGATTCCTGACCTAGTCGCTGGAGAGAAATGAAACCGAGCATGGGCACTATTTATATATTGTGCGTGACCAGAAATGTGTGAACTGAATTGCCCTTTGGGATTAATAAAGTTGTTGATTGATTGATTGATTGATTGACGCTAGGTGGGGCTAGCCTGGATAACAGTATGCAGCTTTATAGAAAAAAAAAGACTAAAATCAAAGGATATTATATTGATTTTGGTTGTGTTTACTGCACTGAAAAACACACATTCTGACTCTGAGCGGGCTTGCATCTCCACAAACCTGACTCTTATTGGCCTGGACAAAATGGAAATGTCATTCTTTTAGCTGTAATTTTCCACAGTATAAGAACATTCTCTCCATGGAGGTTTTTATGCCAAATGTGGTGAAAAAACTTAAGGAGATATCAGCCCAAACCCTCAAGCAGAGTCAGACAAGATGGCAGCACCACTGACATTTGCGGCGATCTCTACTATTTTGTACAAACGCACAAATGACAAGCAAACGTATCCAATTTAATTCTTTCCTCAGTACAATTGTCTCTCATGACCACTGAGCAGTAAAGGCTATGAAATCCTTTTTACAAAAACAATGTAGTTACCTAATCGTTCGTGAGCACCTCTCAAAGTGAACAGCCCTCATATGGCCGAGCTGATTGAGTTAGCAGACAGCCTGTTAGCCTAAAGCACTAATATTAAACACAGCTCAGCGTCGGAAACCAGTAGCAGGCCTGAGCTGCTCTCTTTGGTTACCGTGGAAACCAGACCGACCTATTTGTCCCAATTTGTTCAGATCCAAAACACCTGACCTAAGGCTACGTCCAGAATAGCGTCTCAGCACAGTGTGTAATTAGAGTTCATGACTATTGATTATGTTTGAAGTTCTTAAAGCCCCACTGTGTAACTTTTTAAGCAAATGTAGGCCTTCTTTTGCTTGTTGTCATGGACATGTAGTTCCTATAGCTTTAATATTCCAAAGTAGGGCATAAAACAGATCTATCTCCATGGATAAGGCTCCAAAGTGTGGTTTTGAACTTTTTCATACAATCAGGTGTCATGTCATCTCTAGAATGTTGCATTGTGTTGCTTTAAATAAAGATCTTATATTTCGGCAAAGTGACTCTTGTGAGCTTTAGGTCATGTTCAGATGTTGTTACCTCCTCAAAAACAGACCTGGAGTTGTGTTTTGTTTCATTCACACTTTTTTGAGTAACATTAGTCAAAGGTCAAAATGTTTTCTAGTGAAGATGTATGGAGTTTAAAAACACAGTGGAGAATGCCCTGTATTACCACATGACATCATAAGGTGGACCAGAGTGTTTTCTGTTTGGGAGAAGAACTCAATCTAAATATGCAGGGTTTGTGTGTTAAACGTGGGAATGAAACAAAAACACAACTCCAGGTCTGTTTTTGATGAGGAAACAACATTATAACACAGATTAGAAAATATAAGCACTCTTTAACTTTGTAACTTTCTATTTATTAACAAAAAAAAAACATAAAATAACATACAAATGATGAAAATATCCATTATATATAGTCAAAAAGACTTGAAAATAGCCAAAACTACTTGACCTGAAAGAGCTGTCTGGTTAACTGCTTTTATAAACATTTTAGTTATTTATTAGTTTAATTAGATTAATTTCAAAATGTCTACTTCTACAATTGTTACTATTTGTATTTCTGCAATTCCTACATCATACCAAATGTGTTTCAATATTTTAAAGGGCCCATATAAGATTATTTTTTGACACATGTTATAATGTTGTTTCCTCATGAAAACAGACCTGGAGTTGTTTTGTTTCATTCACATGTTTAACACTCAAATCCTGTGTATTTAGGCTGAGTTCTTCTGTTCCACCTTGTGATGTCATGTGGTAATACAGGAGGTGCTCCACTGTGTTTTTAACCTTCATAGACCTTCACTAGAATCATCTGGATAATTTCAGCCCTGGAATTAACAATCTCTACTGAAAAAAAGGTAAAAGGTAGCTGTTAACTTGAAAACTACCATTTCATGACATCACAGGGTGGAACGGATCATTTGGAGCTTTGGAGATGTAGACAGACTAATAATAAAGGGTTACTCAAACATGTGTGAATGAATCAAAACACAACCATGGGTATGTTTTTGATGAGGTAACAACATTATAACATGGCTTAAAGCTCACAGGAATTCATTTTGTGTAACTTTTTTGGATTATCTTCTTTTTTATTTTCGCGCATTTCTCGAGTAAAAGCATTGTCCCCTCCCTCCTCTGATGTGAGCTCATTGTATGGCTGCCTTATGGGGACCTCTGGGTGTAAAAGGCAGGTTTTCGGGGTCCCCCTCTCTCCCCCGAACTAAAGCTGCTTTAAATACGCCCGTAGCCCCGCCCACTTCGGCCCATTGAAATCTTTGGCGGTTTGTTTACGAGACACGGTCCTTTCTTTTGTCCCTCCCCATGACGATCTCTATAGCCAAAAAAAAGAGACTCACCCCTCCTCCCCTCTCTTTCTCCCTTCCCCTTTTCTCTCTCTCTCCTCCAGATTTGAAAAGAAGACCCCCACTCCGAACGCAGTACCTCATACGCCAGTGATGCTAAGCTGGTGAGTACTACGAATACTTTTACTACCGCTTTCTGGATTGTATGTTTTTGTGCGATTTGAAAGTTTTCTTGGATAGCTGGATGCCGCCTTCTTATTTTGGGTGAGTGCTTGACTTTTTGCTCTGTTGAAATGCCAAAGTTTGAATCTGAAATTGGGTTTTCTGACAGTAATTCTCTGCTTCGTCTCTGCTTTTAAGTTCACGCCAAGTTTTCAGAGCGAAGTTGCTGTTGACGCCAAATTTAGAATAATGGTTTTAATCCTGGTTAAGAAGACGTGTTTTGTATGATTGGTCTTTTGGTGTTTCTTATTTCTAGTTCATAGATGCTTGTATAGGAATAAGAACCTGCTAGAATTTTGTTTTCAATAGCACAATTTCATATTTTTTCATGATAATAAATCCACATTTTGACATTGTTTTTAGTAGGGATTTTGGCGAGCTTTGAGGTGATGACAGCTTGTTTCCCGTATTAGTTATAAGGTTATAATCTTGAATGAAAATATTACTGGTCAAATATTTTGGGTAGTTTATGTAGTATTTTTTGATAGTATCGTGATAGTATCTATATATCGTCAGTGGTGGACAGTACTACAGTAAAAGTACAATACATAAGTACAAATTTTAAGTATCTGCACATTTTACAGTGGATACTATTTACTTTTACTTCACTACATTTGAGAACTTGTATCTGTACTTTCTACTCCACTACATTATAGATCTGGACTGAAAAGTAAATAGTTATTTTCTTATTATGTATAGTAGTTTTCATCCCAACTACAACCAAATACTCAACATACTCTGCAAAATACTTTTACTTTTTACTCTTTAAGAACATTTTTAAACAAGTATTTTACTAATGCAACTTTTTTACCTCTGTATCTGCACTTACTTTAGTAACAAAACTGAGTACTTCATCCACCACTGCATATCGTGAGCCAGTGATACAGTATTGGTATCATTGGTTGCTTTATCGATATACATGAGTATTTTTTAGTACAGATTCATGATAAAAGGTTACTCAAACATGTATGAATGAAACAAAACACAACTCAGGGTATGTTTTTGATGAGGTAACAGTATTATAACAAGGCTTAAAGCTCACAGTGGTCAGTTTTGCAAAATATATGACATTCAGTTTTATAATATGAGGTCCACTTTTTCTATTTCTAAAAGTAATGTTTGTGACACAGTTATTTATTTGTATCGTTTTTTTCTCTATATAGTGGAGTGAAATATTGCAAAAACAGATTTTATAGGGTCAGTATGAGACCACTGTCAACATCTAATTATAAAGCGAACCTGGAAGTGTGCTGTTGGCATGCTGATGTTTGATAGCATTGGTGATGGTTTCTAAAAATGGTGAAACATGTTTATGGTGAATAATTAGGACGAGGTGTTTCTTAGAACCACTGCAACCTGTCTTTTTCCCATTGTAAAAATTGAGGTACTGTACAGAGCCTTCAAGTTTTTCAGTTTTCAGTCAGTCTCTTCTCTATAATCTCGACATCCATACCTGTCTCTAGATCACATTTTGAGAATTGCAGCAGTTTTGACAGTGATTTTTAAAAGCTACATTTGATAATAAAACAAGTTAATAAAAATGTAATGTGCAAACAGTAAAAAAAACTTACAACCAAAGTTTAAATATGCAAAGTATGTTATATAGGTTTAAAGGTGCATCATATATATCTGATTTCTTTTTTCCAAATCCAAAAGTTATTCTAAAAATCCACTGATTAACAGACACATGATGTTAGGTGTTTTGGACGATCAGATTTCTTGTAACACACACTTCAAATCAGATGTAATTATTGGCAGTTGTGGAAAGTAACAAGGACAAAAGTAAAAGTACTCAATACAATACAATACAATACAATAACACAAATACAAACACATACTTTTACTTCACTACTCTTTGGAACGGGTATCTGTTCTTTCTACTTCACTATGTGTTTTAACTTGACTGAAAAGTAAAAAGTACTTTATATGTGATTTGAGTGGTTGCTTTAGCACGTTCATGACATCCTAACTAAAGGTTCTGAGTTAAAGTCCGGCTTTGTGCAAACAAAAATATATATATACATGAAACTCCACAATACAATTAAGAAATACTGCAGTTCTTATCAATATCACTACATTTAACACATTTAACTTCTCATAATCTGTGTGGATACTTTTACTCTTTACTCTAAAAGTACATTTTTAAATGGGTACTTCAGTTCTTTTAATTAAGTAGATTTGTATTTATAAATCTTTTACTTTTACTTGAATAATTTTTTGTCCCTGTATCTGTTCTTTTACTTAAAGGTGCATTGTTACTTTTGTAGTGGAGGGTCTGTCAAATCATTTTCTCCATGGAGATGTTATTGCTTTGTCTGGAATGTTTCACAGTATGATATAAACCCTTTCTATCTTCATGGAGATCAAACCAGACCAAGTTACAGGTCAGATCTGTGGAGAGGCGACCCTGCTCACAGTCAGAATGTTTTTTCTAGGTATTTTTGAGCTATAAAACCACCAGTAAGTAAATAAATGTAAGGTAGAGCTGTGGAACATTTGAGACAAAGCAATCGTATATCCATAGAAATAAGCAAAAATTGAGTATTTCATCCATCACTGATTCTAGTTCTCTGATGTGTATTAGTCTTGTAAATGAGCTATGGACTTGAGTATAACATAGTGATTCACATGAAACCTTATGACTCTGTCTTCCTATGACCAGAGGCAGGGCTTTTCCACTCACCGCCATCTGACACACTGTAATTAGAGCTTCCTCCATTACAAAAGCTCACACTTGTGGATTGTCTTTTCATCGCTTTGAGGGCCATTTTCAATTACAAGAAGCACCACTGATGTCAACAGAGATGTGAATGAATTGTCTGTAGAAGATTATATTACTGAAGTTGTTGTTAGCTGTAAAATAGCTGGAAAAAATCTATTAAATGGTCCATTTTACGCAATTTTTCTGATCTCTGTTAAAATGTTGTTTCCTCATCACAAACAAATCTGGAGTTATACCTTGTGATGTCATGTGGTAATACAGGAAGTGCTCCACTGTGTATTTAAACTCCATACACCTTCACTACAATCATTTGGATGAGTTTAGCCCTGGAATTGAGAATAATAATAATTGAGGTAAAAGGTAGCTGTTAACATGAAAACATCCGCTTCATGACATCACAAGGTGGAACAGAGCATTTTGAGCTTTGGAGATGTAGATAGACTAATAATAAAGGATTATTCAGACATGTGAGAATGAAACAAAACACAACTCCAGGTATGTTTTTGAAGAGGAAACAACATTATAACATGGCTTAAAGCTCAGAAGAGTCAGTTTAATATAGGACTCAGAATCCATAATACTTGTCCTTAATAAAGATATTTAAATCATATTTTAACACAATAGTGATTTATTCATTGTATAATTGCTAGGAAAATATTTTAAAGGTACCTTGTGTAACTTTTTCTTGTCATAGAGTTGTCATTTTTTGCGTAGAATGTTCCACAGTATGGACTTAAACTTATCTTACACTTGCATCTCTGTAATTGAGTAGATGGAAGGTAGATAAGTGTGATTCCATACTGTGGAATATTCCAAGCAGTAACATCTCCATGGAGACCAGCAGGGGGCAAACTCCCTTTCAAAAACTTACACAGTGAACCTTTCAAAAGTTAAGATATTACATTTTCAACAGCACCACTCTTAGATATTAAAACCATTCATGTGAAGTGGAAATTGCTTTGTGAGTCTCAGCATACTCCAAATGTCTCAGATGGTTTAAAATGACATGTTTTTTTATGTTTTGTTTGGTTTTATGAAATGTCTTACAAGATTATAGTCAAAGTAACCTCATATTTGGTTTTGATTAGCTCTGTGATTAGCGGTGATTGTTTCGTGCATTGTGCAACTTTTAGGTTGGGGGTCTGTCACCTTCTTGTTGCTATGGTTATGTCATTGCTCTGCTTCAGATGTTCCACAGTATGACATTAAACAGCTCTACCTTACTTTTTTTTCAATTACAGGTGGTTTTATGACTCCAAAACACTTATAAAAACAACCATTCTGACTGTGAACGGGATCACCTGTCCACAGATCTGACCTGTTACTTGGTTTGGTCTCAATGAAGATAGAAAGGTTTAAAACCATACTGTGAAACATTCCAGACAAAGCAATAACATCTCCATGGAAAAAGCATTTGATGAACCCTCCACCAAAAAAGTTACACGATGCACCTTTAAACCTATTTTATATACCCCACTTTACATGTTTAAACTTTTAACAGTGTAAGTTTTTTACTTTTTGCACATTCTGTTGTTATTGTTAACTTGTTTTATTAGAAAATGTAGCTTTAACTTGAAATGACCTTCTCCCTGACCCTGACCATCCAATGAAACTATAACAAGGATTCCTGTCACTGTAACTGAGGAACACACTGGTAAAATAAAGCTATAAAAACGACCAGGTTTAGGATTTTGGTCTTAAAAATGTGGTTTAGTCCATGTCCCTGGTGTAGACGCCGCAATAAACAAACCTAATTTACATTTGTATTATGACACGGTTTTTTTATAGTTCAAAAATACCTTCATATAAAAAACATGTATTCAGGAATTGGCCTGTTGGCGTCAGCTGCTTTTGTCCTTAAAGATAGCTATGTTTAATGCTATACTGTGGGACATTCTAAGCAAACATCTCCAAGGAGACAAAGCAAGTAGCAGACCTTCTTCTAGAAAAGTTGCATAATGTGCTTTTAAATGATTTCCATTTACCACATAAAGTTTGATTTAAATAGTGGCTTGAATACATTTTATTATATTACTGTATTTTCTGCACTATTAGGCGCTCTGGATTATAAGACGCACTGTCATAGAATGGTCTATTTTCAAACTTTTTTCACAAATAAACTGCACCGAACTTTACACAACAGTTAGATGGGTCACGATGAGGTCAGTTTGGTCTTTGCAGTCCGACTTCCTCAGGACAGTATCCCAGGTGTGTGAGACT